TCCCGCGTTCTCACAGTAGCATCGTTGCAGCTGTTGAGGATGGAGGTTCTTATTCCAGCTCCCGCCGACTGTGAAGTGCGGTCAGTGATAACGCTAGGCCGCACACGGCTCGACGGACAGCAAGTCTCCTGCAGGAGTTCAGCTGGGAGGTGTTTAATCATTCACCCTACAGCCCGGACCTCGCTCCCAGTGATTTCCATCTTTTCCTACACCTCAACAAATTCCTGTCCGGTCAGCGACAGCGTTTTGAGAATGACAGAGAGGCGGAGATGGTTGTCACACAGTGGTTCCAATCCCAGGCGGCAGACTTCTGCGACACAGGTATTCAAAAGTTGACAAATGTCTCAATTCCGGTGGCGAATATGTTGAAAAATAGCTGGACACTTGCTGTATCTGTTGCAGTAAACGGCCCCAGGGAAACTTACTTTGTGGACGAGCCTCGTATATAAAATTTATTATTTTAATGAAGTAATAACTTTAAAAACTATAAAAAATGTTGCATTCCTATAAAGTCTGATGATTTCAATTTGTCAAAAGTCAGCTGAAGATATTCAATATTAATGTTGATGACATCTGATGCATATAAATTAAATGTTGCAAAACAACTGACAGTCATGTGTTTGTATGTGCCTCACTTTTCCTGTTTACTTCTGTAATTTCTAAATACTGCTGCAGATTACAAATGTATACTAGATAGTCAAAGTATGTTGAATGTAGTATTCTGATTATGTTTTGTCAGTAACACACTAGAGCTGACCTGTTCCACAATATCTCCTCCTATTTCACGAACAAGATCATAAAAATCATTTGATGTATAATCTCCATCATTTGGTAACCAAAAGCTGATGTCATTGATGCATTGTGGATATATGCTGACTGGCTGTAAAATAAAATTAGCATATGAATGTCTTAAGGAGGTTCTCATAAGGCATGAATAGACTACCTTTACATGTTAGAATTTGTACCAGATGTTCACAATGGATGTAGAACATTCACACCCAAACACACACACACAATTTGTGTAGCTGTTTGTACTTCCATAAACCAGTTTTAAAACAATGTCAATATCAGGAAGACAAATTTTATTTTATAGATTATATACCACTAATATAGCAATACATTACCCCAATGGGCATATTCTTTAAGTGATATATGCAGATGATATTTCTGGAGGAATTAACCAGGATGTTGAAGTTGGTCTTCTCAGTTGTAATGCCAAGTGGACTTGTAAGTATGAATACGAGGGATATGGATGTGGTGTGGGCCAATAGGAAAGAGCACTACTCAGGGAACCAGAGCAGAACACCTTTCTCTTATGTGTGGTGTATTCCCCATTCTAGACAAGTTTTATTATTTGAGATTCACAATGAATTCCACTAGGTCTTGAATCAGACTGTTTGAAACAGAGTTGAATTTAACTTATATGTCATAACCAAAATGAAACAAGTCCTTTACTTTTGACCATCAAGTGGGATCTTGAAAATCTCAGCCATGTGTTCATAAGAGTCTGCAGAGACAGGCATGTTTTTAACCTTCTATTTTTCAAAGGCAACTTAAACATTGCTTTTCATTCTGCCAGCAGTAATAAGATTGGAATATCATCCATTACCTTGTATTTGATGCAGTCATGGGGATCCCTGTTTTCAAACTGTGACAGAAATCCTGAATCTGTGCTCCAGAAAAGCCTGATGTCAGGGATATCGTACAGGCACATGGCAAGACGTTCCAAACCCAGTCCAAGTGCCCAGCCAATCCGATCTTGTGCACCAGCTAAAATATGTAAACAAAATGTATTTAATGTTGCTGTAGAAAAGGTAGCTTTGTATTCTGTATCCCAAATACAGAGACAAATGGATGTATCATGCTCTTATAAAACAATATATATATTTCCCCTTCTTTAAGAAGAGTAATTCAAAGTTAGCCTAAATGGTAGATGAGGTTCTGCGTTTTGTTTTGTGATGCTAAAATTTACCTGAATCAATCATTTTTAAAAGGACCTCACTTCAAAAGCCTGCATGTTCTGGAGCTAAGGAAACTGCTTTTTACTACATTTATCAAGCCCACTGTTATTGAAACGATAATTTTTTTAAAATTTCTGGAATAAAGCCATTTAAGAAAGATATCTACTATGTAACTCCTTTAAAGGAATTAGTTTGTTTAATTTTTTAAATGTATCCATAATTAAACTTCATTTACCAAAATATATATCTTACAGTAAACCCTTAATTATGTCAGCAGTATTTGGAACACTTGTTAAAGAGCAATTATAATATTCTGAATCACAAACATCATTCACAGAAATGTAAATTGTATAAACTCCTGCATTTTATACATTCTAGGCAGTTTTCTATTGTCAGCTTATATTACCTTGTTGAACTTGTGACAATTCAGAAAATACATTAGACTTCAAAATTTTCATGTCTGTGACCAGGAAGTGAGGAGTTTCATTATAATCATACATTACAATTAAACTGATTAAACTAGAAAGTGGTTCAAGAAAGATGTAAATTAGAATTATATTAAACTTTTGGTAGAAATTAATTATAATTATGTGTTTAAATTCATAAATGCAAGAAAGTGTGAATCTGCTACATATATTTCAAATAAAAGTTGAATATCTTAATGAGATCTATATCTTACAACTGACATTAATTCTTTTGTATACTTTGTTGTTCTTTAGAAATTTGATAATGTTCAGTTTGGGCTTTATGTAAAGTAGAGGTTTTAATTAACAGTAAACAATAAAACTGAATTTGGGTAAATGAATTAAATTTAGAACTTTCAATAATTTGTTTGCAAATGATGCAGTTTAATTCAATGTTACATTTAATGTTTACAAGCAGTAACTAAACAGTCTTAATGTGCAGGGAACTCCACATATAATTTTACAATGTTCCTGTTTGCAGTATTTAAAGGGAAATAATCACCATTCTGAAGTATTCTTTGCTCCATAATACCACAACCTAGAAGCTCCATCCATTTATCCTGATGATGGACTTCCAGTTCCCATGAAGGATGAGTAAAGGGAAAGTAAGCATCCACCCAACGATACTTCACCTCTAACAAACAGAGATTATTGTTTTGCTAACATGGTAAATGTTCTATAATGCCTCAAATTCCATAATGTCACACAACCTCCAACAATTAGTTTATATACAGCAATGACACTAACAGCATAAAAATATGTATAATTAAAGTCAAACTACTTAAAAATGACATATATTATTTAACTTCATTCTACAGTCTTCCTTCAGCAGTTTACAGCCATACAACCAGTCTAGAATTTACATGCTTTTATGGAACCAAAAATTCTGCAAAGTATTAAAAATGCTTGCCATTACACTATTCCCACATCCACATTTTCACACTTTTAGTTCTCCCCACACACCTAACATGTATCATTCTTGATTTTATCATCCTTCCCATATCAGATGATGAGTCAGATCATGATGCTTCTCATTATATTTTATCTTCATGTAACATTATTCTTTTTGGGTATCCTCAGTGAAGAATCTGGTTCAAAGAGCTATATTTTTAGAAAATGTGTTAAGATTAGATTCAAAACTATAGTCAATAGCAGAGTAGAATTTGTGAACATAACTACATTTTCCATCCAAAATAAAAGACTGAATTTCATAGAATCATTCACCTGCACAGATAAATGATATAAAATAATCATCAATAATTTGGTGTAAGGCAGAAAAGGGGGAATATTAGATTATTTAAACTTCCATAGATATATATATTAGTGTTCAGTATGCTATGCATAAATAAAACAAATCTGGAAACAAGTCTTTGTGGTAAGTAATGTAGAAGCTCAAATGAATGGTCATAATCTTATATAAATGACTGTTAAAAATAATGATACAAAAGTTCCACACCTTGCCCAAACAAATCCTGAGCCAACACAATAAGAGTAGACTTCAACTCATCTTCCATTATTTTACTTGCTTCCAGTGTATGTGCCTCTTGTTTCTGAGCTGTTCTCTCACCTTCATTTTCAAATACAGCCATTTTATCACCATTTTCAATGGACCTAAAAACCTACAATAAATGTAAAAATGGAAAAACTAAAATGATGAGAGCAGTGAAAAATAGCAGTTATATTGCATAACTTGGAAACTCACTTCATGTTTACCGCAAAGTCTGACTGCATCAACTTGATGGAAGACAGGATAATGAGTTGAATCAATTTCATCTCTTCTATACACATCGCCAATAACAAGAAAATTATTAAGTCCCATTCCTATAAGTTCTGACTGATGAGCTGTAGTATGAGCTCGCAGAAGATAATCACAATTTATGTAATAACAATCACTTTTCTTTCTACTTTGATGGTATGGAGGGATTAACAAACTATCAAAATTTTGTTTTATTGAGACTATAGGCTCTAAGTCGTCATATACTGAGAAAATAGGATTTCCTGTACGACCAACAAATCTCTTGTAGAATAAGTTTACAATCCTTTGTTTAATTAGTGATAGGGGGTGATATTTTTGTAAATGTAGTTTTTTACCCAAATGGGACAGAATTTTTGATGACACGTTGCTCCATGTATCACGTTGAAACTCTCGACCATTGACCGAAAGATGAACAGGTCCTTCCCTTCTTGCGTTTGTTGAGCAGCACCTTGGCTTGATCTTCATTTGAATAGTTAACCTGCTAAGAAGCATTCTGAATGCAGATTCCACTTTAATAAGATTTAATAATACGATACAGAACACCTGCATAGATAAACAAACTTCGGAACACGAGAAAACTTTCGACATATCAGTCACGTTTTCGACTTAGCTCGAATCCATAGTTTCGATTCCATTCATCAAACAAGTCTCTGGGTTAAGCGCGCAAAACCAATGATTCCGAGTTGTTTATTGTTCGCAGTGAAGGTGAATTCTTCTTTTACAAGGTAAAGGTTAGTTTTCCCGTGAAATTAAAATCACGACATCGAATTTCACGATATATGCCACCGTGAAAACTGTATGTCGCTATGCTATGACATCAAGATTATCGTCGTGACTTTTATGTCTTGGAATCAAACCGAGTTCGATTTTTGGTTTCCGTATCTGACTGCGTATTTTCTGTCATTCCTGTCTTTTAAAATAGTCATTTCACGTGGAACACGAACTGCCGCAAGCACCACCTCGCTTGAGGACATATTTTCTATTGACATGTCACGATATAATTACACTTGAAAACGCTCGCTAAGTCACTATGGTGACCGCAAATGTCGCAAATTTGTCGCATGAAAATGAGCCTTAACATATACAGTAGCTGGTGCACTTTTTAGCACGTATTTAGTTTTCTGGCTTCATTTTACCACAGACTGCTTGCATCGACAATAGAGAGTAGTAGTTGTAGAGGATATTGCCAGAAAAATAATTATGCACAAAAGGAAGCACCTCCACGGGGATATTGCGCTTTGATCTGCTCATCTGAATAATTAATATTAGGGCCACTAACGATATATCATTCGGCAACAAATGCTTGATAACATTCCACAAAAACGTAATTTACACTTATTACGAACAAGCTTTCTCCTACTTAGGGTAAAAACTGAGAGTATGTTAATCGGTTTTATCGGTCTCACTTCACATGTATCCACGTGATAATACTTCAGCAGGCAGTAAGTACATTAAACATATTTAATCAACAGTAAAATAAAATTCCCCATGTGAAACATGCTTGATCAGTTTGAACACAAAAGCTTTTGAGAGAAGAATAGACTTAAAAGTAAGATTTACTGCTACAAATCACTTTCAAGGTACATTCATCCAACTTTAAAACAATGGAACAACTACGACATTATATTCAGCATACTGTTGTCTCTCCATGTTATTTGCATGAAATGAACTTACTCATTGTATTTCTGATCTTCTTTTAAGCACTGTATGTTCATACTTAATTTTGATGTTACAATGCATACTTCAGTACACTAAACTGACTGGGAAAGACTACTAGCATGTTTAGTAAAGTGTAAAAGCAATATTTCATAGCTGGTATAAAACATTCCCTCCATGTAGAGCTATTTTTGAAAACCTTTCAAGCAATACATAGAGACCTTATGTTATGTTGATGAAAAATACCATAATGTTACTGAGCCATCAGAGTTTCACGTGCAATGCACAATATTTTGCAGGCCAAAGGCATGATCATGAGGGTACACATGTTACTCTGCAACAGGTGCATGATTACATTGTAAATGTTAAAAGCTTTTAAACAATCTTGAAAAATTACTGTATTTTATTTGTGGTTTACTTAGTGATGACTGAGGTGAAAAACAAGTGGTATTGTATTGGTTTAATTTAAGGTAATATCCAAGCATTTACTTGAAGAGACTGAGAAAAACCACAGGAAGCCTGTCAGGATATCCAGTCTCTGGGCTGGGATTTGAACTTAAGACCTGAATACAAAACAGGAGTGCTAACCAGTAGTCTTAATGGACATGAAATGATTTTACCAGGTATGTTGTGTAATTTTTCTTATATTAATCCATCAGTATCAAATTATAAATTTGGCATCTTACATTACCATGTTCCTTCAGCAATATGGCATCTAAAGATTAATATTCTATTCTGATTCGTTTATCACAAAGTTCAGTAGTCGAAAAATCCTGCGTTATTCCATCACGATCAGAAGTCATATCTCTTCAACCTTAATGTAAGTTTATGAAAATAATTAACCCAACAGAAAAAATAAACAATGGACAACTTCTTTGCAATATGCTCCTCTTACTATAACCAAAATACCAGAAACAAAACTTTGTTTTCACATTGATTTGATCAACAAACTACACAGAAATGTTTAAACTGTAAAACTAAAAAAATTAAGCCCAAGTATTTAGAATGTGTTAATATCATGAAATGTACTGAGCAAAGTATAACTTCCTGTGATACCTGAATAGACTTCTTGAAGCTATTAATTAATACTGAAATATAAAAATGTCTCAAATTTCAAGTTCAAATGGCAGAACAGCTTTCTATTATGTAACAAAATGTTACAGAAATGCCGATCCTGTTCATTCCAGTGCATCCAAAGAACTCATGTTGAATATGGGGAAGTGTTAACAATTCATACTGCAGTGAATGAAATATACTTATCTGTTAACAGGTTTAATTCAGATAAAAGTTTGATCATATGAAAGTGTTTTTATTTTTACCCTTATTCATTACAACATGTATTCAAAGTAACCTTATAAATTAAAAAAAATTCTAATTTCCATAAAAACATGTTTGTACATCCCTCACCTCCTTGACATGTAATCAAAATAGTTGCAGCAAAATGCCATACTTTCATCAAATACTGTCCTTACTGCAATTCCCTACCCTCACCCATCTTTCTCTAAATGGTAACAAGTTACATCTCATAATATTGATTGAAAATTTATTTTTGCATGCATGAAATGGAAGTATTATCAGGAAAATTAAATTTTATAAATTACAATACAAATTATAACAGTAATTCAAAGTCTGAATCTAAACTACAGTACTAATACATCAATGAACTCTCAAATGAGACTTTTTTCCTTTAATGAATAAATACAATCACACAGTTTTCATTTGCTGTTTTAGTATTATGACATTTCAACACAGACAGCTCCAAACAGTAGTGCCACTTGCTACAGGCTTTCCATTGAATTCAAAAGGCACAACAGACAACACTCTGATACATTTGTGTACATGAAGGAGTTTCTGTAATGTTTACTTATCTTCAATGGAACTAACAGCATATCATCTCTGTAGTACACCAAATAATCCAATAACAAATGTGTTTGGCCATTCATACAAACATGCACTCATTAAAACAAAGCACAACTCACTGACACCAAACAAATTTAAAAGTAGTATGGAGATCTTTCATTGCTAAGGTACACATTTGAAAATAACAAGTATCATTCATAGGCAATTAAACAGAGCAGTGCTGATCATTCATACATATCTTTAAAACTTGTTAAACTAATGCATATGAACAGCAATCTTGTGAGCTATTCCTATACCTTAGGTGCTAAGACATGCAATGCACACAGTTAAGGAGAAAACATTTACAATCCAGCATGAAATTAACAATCGAGGAAGTTGGCTGCCATCAGTAGTTCTAGAGCAATTTCTGGAGCAATGGGAAATTCTGGAATCTCAGTAGAACTGTTAGTGTAACGCACTTTGTACGTGAAATACATGCACACCTTCTGCAACACATGTGACCTGAAAGGATAAAAATGTTTTTGATAATTTCATCTTGCTAAATTTGTGAACCAAACTGAATCCATGTGTGCTCTGAACTCTGTTCATACTTACGGAATTTCACGGAAGTTTACTTCATTGGTTTCATTTTCAGAAAACTGGCCAGGACCACTCAGCATGGCCTTGATTGTTCCAGATGTTATTGCATGTTCACGTTTTACAATAAATTCATGAGCATCAGATGAAATAAGTTTAACATACATAGCTTCAGGTCCTTCACATCCTCCATATACCTTTTCCTCATCCTAAACACGAAACGGCGTAATTAAATCATTATCCCTGGAAAATACTATATGATCATGACTGTCATACTCTTTAAAGTAACCTTACCTTCTTGTCTTCCGTCATATCACCTGACATTTCTTATGAATGTAGCCTAGAATAAATAGAACGCAATTTCAGAATAAATACTTCTACTGCAGTCGCACAGCAACTCAGTTTGAGAGTTTAACGAATAGTTCAGCGTACTAAGACATCACCACAATACTTGTTACATTTGCATAATATTAAACAACTACAAAGCCGAGTCCTTACCTCTAAATTCTAGTGCACCGTTGAAGAGCTCGTTTCGGTTTGAGATCACACTAATTGATCTCTCACTATATAGGTATCTATTGCCTCCACGTCTCTTTGTTCCAAAGATTAGAAAACAAAATGTTAGTCAAAAGAACAACCAACTTTCCAATGAATTTCATGGGCTTCACGGCAGATTTGACTGTTTTTTATGATTACACGGCACAATTAACTAGAAGTTGGATCATTCCAAGTATCGAAGACCAACATAAACCATAAGTAACCAAGAGCAAAAATAGAACATTACTGAATATAAAGTAATGAGAATAAATGTGCAGGGTATTAATACTTATTATAAAATGTGTACCATCAGGGCACATTAATAAAGTATCCTCTGTGGCATATAGCGCGCAGGTGTTTACTGCAGTATCTACCGTAATCCACCCAACCCCCCCATGTTAAAGCCACGTGTAAATACAATGGTTACGTAAAGAGACTGGGTAGGAGATAAGAAACGGGTTCGTATTCCTAAGACATACCTAAGAAAATTAAATGTTTTAGTTATTATATGCTATAGAGTGCTCGTTTTTGTAAAGAAAAGGTCGTGTAATAAACAGTTGCCTAGTTTGTACAGGTAAGAAGGTTAGGAATTTAAATCACACTAGAATTTTCATGCGCGAAGGGTACACCTTAGTGTACTTTTTTCTTTTTCCACGTATAAGCATCACTGTTCATTATTTGGAAACGTAATTGGTAACATATCGTTGTATCCGGTTTGCAGTCGTTTTTTTTACATTTAATTTCAGACTTTCTTACTCCTTTCAAAGTATCAAATGAATGAACTTGAAGTATGCTGGATCAAATTTGTATGGTGTGAAAATTCTTGGTAATTACTTCAGTAACTTTTTTCCCATTCTAGATAGGTAAAATACATTTCTTTTGCTCTTGTCTCTGCTCTTCCTTATTCCTAGTATCAGAACAGTGAAAGATAAGTCAAAAAGGAAAGACAGCTATTTCATCTTTTGCTTATTGACTTGCACATAGATTCTGTGGTGCCTGGAAACATTACTGGAAATAACTGTTCAGAAGTCCTTTTCATGCTCTAATCATTTACTTGTGCCAGGGTAAACTGGTTATAAATCATAAAAGTTTAGGAAATGGAAGACAATTTCTGTGAAGTTCTCACAAGTTATGTTTACTTATTTAAAAACATGTATATAAATATGGATGCCACGGTGGTCTAGCGGTTAGAACGCTGGCCTTGTAATCCTGGGGTCTCGGGTTCGATTCCCGGCGGTGCCCGAATTTATAACTTGTGTTGGGCAAGGCCGTGGTCTAGGCAACACGGAGTTTTCCTCCGTGGCATCCCAACAATTACTCCATGCACACACAGAAGAAGGCAATGGCAAACCACTGCTGGATCATCTGCCAAGAACGTATATGAACAAGTCCCAGTCCGAGAAAAGGATGGAAGGATCCTGGTCATATGGACCTGTCGTCAGACAGAACACAAAATAACACAGAAGAAGGCAATGGCAAACCACTTCTGGATCATCTGCCAAGAACGTATATGAACAGGTCCCAGTCCGAGAAAAGGATGGAAGGATCCTGTTCTTATGAAACTGTCGTCAGACAGAACACTAAATAATAATAATAATATAAATATGATTATACATTTTACACATGAACTAAAGGGTAAAGTGGTAATTTTGTCAGATAATATTAAATATAGGCTATAAAGTAGCATTCATTTTGCTTTTGTAGTTTTTTTACTCATATCCCTTTAACCTGGCACATACATCCATCTTTAATACATTCAGAGGATCCATGAGTTAGATGACAATAGTACAGTGGACATTCCATTTCTTGATGTCTATAAGCAGTTGATGTATTGTCCCATTATACTTCCATTTTCCTTACTGTCTGACACATATTATCTGAATATTATTTTATATATTATGTTGAAGTCCACACAAATTCTGCATAATGCCTGCATGCTATTGTAACTTGATTGTATATTTTAAGTTTGGTGCTTGTATACACATGTAGAATTTAAGTATATCTTTATTTATTATAGTTCTGTTTACTATTTTCCAGGAATATGATTATGAATATTAATATTTTTCCAAAAAGTTCTCCTTCTTCACAAGAAGATCAAGATTTCTAAGTGGAATTTATATATTTCTTTCTTATATTTAGAAATGTCTGGTGCAACAGTTCTGGTGACGGGTGGTGCAGGTTATGTGGGTTCTCATTCAGTCGTGCAACTACTCAATCAGGGTTTCAAGGTGGTGGTTGTTGATAACCTAGTAAATGCATCCCCAGGTGAGGTGTAGTTAGTAGTGTTGCATGCAGATCAAGTTGGTTATTGTATTTAGAAAAAGCCACTCTTACTGTGGTGTACTTCTCCCTATCAACTTACCGATCATTCAGTAGTATGAGAAGTGATACAGTTAGGTGTTAGTGTTTGTACTATAAGAACACTTTACACTGCTTTTGCTGTTTTATTGCAGTTGCTTGGTACTGCTACTAAGTGTCTGAAACAAATATTTACAGAACACATGAAGTATCACTTGACTAAAGGGTGCATGTACGTTTGTGCAGTATCACCAGTTCTTGTCCTTTGGTTTTGTGGCTGGAGTTCAATGTAAAAGTCTGGCTGTTGGGGATGAGCTGTGTCAGATGTTGAACGTTAGTCAACATTTTAGCAAACATTGCTGTTGTCATCTTTAGCATGTAATGGTTGAGCATTTTTGGCACCCTCAGGGCAGGCAGGATAGTTGCATTTAATGGTTCTGATTGGTGGAGTGGAAGAGTAGGCTGCCGTCCAATAACACATTTGCCCATGGCTCCTCAGCTGAAATGTTGGATAATTTTCAACTGTCAATATGTCTCATCCCTGAAAGCTAAGGTTGTATAGTATTGCCACATTATAATTACAGTGTACTTGTTTGAGGCTAACAAGGAGTAGGGGATGCATGAATAATGAAACAGCTAATCCAGAATAACCTTCTCGCATGCATGTTGCATTACAAACTGCATATTCTAGTATCATGATTATTATATTAGGAATATTAATTGCAGTTCTGGCACATTATAGTGTCATAGGTGGTGGGAAATTCAGTCTTTATCTCCCCTTCTTGCACACAATGTCCACTACTTCCCATCTCATTTGATGCAACATTACTTTGCCGTTGAAACACCATCATTAAATGATGAAAGAACATATATCCCATTACCATGATGAAATAGTATAACTTTAAAAGTTAAGGCATCTGAAAAAAATTGTTGGGTACTTCTCCAAAATTCTATTTCTTAATTTTATGATAAAATATACAAATAAGGTTATATATACAGTTTATATATGGACTTAAAGTTGAATTGTATTCAGGTACAGGTAGTATGAAATATAAGCCATAAAACAAAAATTGTATTTTTGTTATAATGTTTGTTTAACCTGGCACAGACAAATCATTCCCCAACTTTAATACAATTTGATATGAAAAGAGATGTGCCTTTTAAGTGCTACAGGAAAGGGGGAATGCATGAATTACAGTTATTTTGAAAAAAGTATATGATTACAAATTTTTTCTGTCGTTGTGTCTGAGTTTTGATTTCAGAGATGACTTGAATTGTTGTAGAATGTCTGAAAAGAGTTGAGGAAATAACAGGAAAGAAAGTTATAAGTGTTTTAGTGGATCTATGTAACAAGGATGAAGTGGATAAAGTATTCAGTAAAGTAAGTAAATTTGAGTAACTATCTTTGTTTTGGTAATTGTAGCAATTGGTTATTATATGTTATTATATTGGCTATAGCCTATCCAGTATGAAGAATAGATTATTGCTCATGGACACAGCTTCGAGTATTATTATAATCTATCACTTACTGATAAAACAACTTTGAGAACAGCAATTAGACAGAATTCTATGCATAAAAAGAACAAATTTAACAGCTGTTTACCACCAAGTGTGTATGATGCATGCAATATCAGTAGCTATAAATGTCCACTTGAGATTTATATTATAATTTTGTGTTGTAGTCGGCTTATTTATTTTAAAACCAGCCTCAGAGCCTCTCCTCCACCACAGATCTTATTTGGACTCTCTCAACATGAAACCCAGCTCTTTGTACTGAAGATCTGGCATCTTAGCTGCCATAGCTGAGGCACTAGTATGGGAAATGGCAGTGCTGGATTTGTGGTTATAACAATTATTGGTGCTGGATGTGGTTTACCAGAATGGAATGTTTGGGCTGAAGGAGTCTTTTATTTTGAAATATTTTAAGAGAGTTAATAAATATTTATATTGGTTTTATCTCACTGTTTTATTCTGCAGTACAAAATCGACTGTGTGATACATTTTGCAGCACTGAAAGCTGTTGGAGAATCTGTTTCTATGCCTCTGACTTACTACAGAAATAATGTTGGTGGATCAGTTACGTTGTTAGAGGTAGAGTATAACACTGTGTCCTGCATTGCAGTTACATTTAGTTTTCAGGTGTTTCAGAATATGGAGGTACAAACATGGGCACAAAGAAATATTTTTTGTATTTTCCCACATTAGTTTTGGTAACACCCTGCTTCATGTGCTCATCCCTTTCAGCTCCCATACAAACATTTTTACATGTATTTTGTATTAGGTTAGATTTGGGTAAGTTTAAATGGTTTGTATTGTTTGCCACTGTGCCTAAACACCATGCTGTGATGACATACAGGGGACATGAAGGTAAAGCTTCACACATTCCACACCTTAGTGGTAGGTGCAGGATGGTAGTATTTTATTATGAATATTGTTTCCCTCATTTCTGACAGGTAATGAAAGCACACAATGTGAAAAAGATTGTTTATTCTTCATCTGCTACTGTTTATGGAACACCTCAGGAACTACCCCTGACTGAGGATCACCCAACAGGTTTAGGTTGCACTAATCCTTATGGCAAGTCCAAGTACTTTGTTGAAGAAATGCTCAAGGATTTAGTTAAATCAGATGAAACATGGTCAGTAATATCATTACGCTATTTCAATCCTGTTGGAGCTCATGAATCAGGGAAGATTGGAGAGGATCCAAAGGGAGTTCCTAATAACATCATGCCTTATATTGCACAAGTGGCTGTTGGTAGAAGAAAGGATCTCAGAGTGTTTGGCAATGACTATAACACACTTGATGGGACAGGTGGGTCTATGTTCCAGAGGAACCATTCTTGAGTCTAGTATCACTGGTCTGAAGACAATGGGTGAGACACATGACAAGTGACATGTATTTATCTGCTGTACATTGCAAATTTAGAATTATCATCAGCAGATAAGTAATACTGTACAATAAATAAAATAACTTTACAATTCTCAAGAAGTATATCTGATATTATGAATATGTGCTTCTAATGAGCATTGATAGTTTCAGTTTTCCTTTCCTTATTCTTTGACTGCCAACTATGTCTGCAGCGTACTCAGTCTTGTATCCTGAATTTTTTTATAAAGTTCTTCACATTGTGATATTGTGTCTTTTGCTTTACATGTTAATAAGATTTGGGTATTCTGTGATTCAGTTACAGCACCATTTTGGTACTGTGGCAGTGATGGGTGTCATCAATGAACTGCATGCTGTCAATAACAAAGGCCCTTTCTTCTTTTAGGATCATTTCTGTTTTATATGGGTTGATGGAGCAAGTACTATACTGTATAAATGTACAAATAGTTCACTGTGGTTAAGATATGGCAGACTTTGTACCATCTGTTGCTGGTTATGTAGGTGTCATAAAAATTCCCGAAGTATATAGAGCGTCTTTTACAATGATATACTGTCTGATAACTCTTGGACCAGTATCTGTTGAAACACGGAATTATTAACTTGACGATGTACTGTAAAAGACTGTCCTGTTCTGTTTCACACCCCTTTTAGGCTTCTATTTTTGCTTAAGTGTTCCAGCAGTATTTTTTCATGGCCAAATGAGTTCTGCAGACATAAAGGGAAGTGAAACTGTATTAGGCTTTTTTCTAATTTTGTAGAGAAAATACATTTGTAAAGTTTACAACAAGTGGTGCACGATCATTCTTTTAGGGGTTCGAGACTATGTTCATATTCAAGATCTAGCTGTGGGTCATATAGCAGCAACAAACAAGATTTTGAACCCAAACTTCTGTGGGTGGAAAGTATACAACTTGGGCACAGGCAGTGGTTTGTCTGTTCTGCAGCTGGTTAAGGCATTTGAAGAGGCATCAGGACAGAAAATACCCTGTGAGGTGGTAGGGAGGCGTGCTGGAGATATTGATGCTTCTTATGCAGACGTCTCACTGGCAAAGAAGGAACTTCATTGGGAAGCTACAAGAGGGGTCCTTGACATGTGTATGTAATATCTTGCATACATGTTCAATATTCAGAGCTACACAAATTGTCTGTGGCTAGCACATAATAGATCTCTTGTAAGCAGATGTCAGTTTGAAAGCTAGCAAGGCTGTGTGTAACATCACAATTATATTGGGCATTTTTTCATTGTCTTAGATATTAAGTACACGTAATATTCTAGGAATTTGCTCTACTACCATCTCCAGGTGATTGATTGCCACTTTGATGATAGTGGTCTGGTGATTTGCACACAAGTTTAGTATTTGTAAGTTTCCTGGTTTTTTCATTCCCACTTTTAGTATACATAAATGAAGAAACTAAAAATCTTTCATTGTAATAACCAGTCGCCTGAAGATGGGTATAGAGCAAACTCTCATAATGTTGTATATATTAATATATATATTTCAGATATTAAATAAGGTCCAATGTAATTTGGCATAAATAATTAGCCATTGTCAGACTCCTTTGTAGTATCAGATCTGTATGTTGTATGTGGTAGACATTAATGCATGTCTTCTCTACCATTCATGTTCCTTCACTTATTTTTACCAGTACTGATACTAAATAAATTGAGTACCTCAGCTGTTGATAATGGATCAGTCAATCAGTATGTCATTAAATTATATATGTGGTTGAAATATTTATTTATTTCTGTAAGAGTTTGTATGGCCATTTTAGTAAGTGCAGGTTTGAAATGAAACTAGAGCAGAATTTTATAAAGCAATTTTCCTAGAATTCTCTGTGACAGCACAGTGCATCAGTAAGGATGAGGCATCAGCAGGACTGACTGATGCATATATTTTGGGTCATTCCTCACATTGACCCCGATGTCAGAGACAGAGCCATTCTCTGAAACATTGGTTTTAAACTCTGCATTGATACAGTTGTTCACTTGAGGGGATTTTATAGCATACATATACCAACTAGAAATTCTTCACCACTTATTTTTATTTCATGTTTTGACATCTGTGCTTTGTTTCCACTATATAAAGTTGTTAGAACTCGGGCACAAAAGAATTTTTCAAAGTGACTGCCTGTCTTTCAGATTTCACTGTCCTTGAACATCTGTTGATAAACTGAAGATAGAAGAGGTCTTTCCAAATTGCACCACAATCTATTGTATTGCAAGGTGTGCACCAGATGATCCTTAAGCATCTGACTAACAACCAACAAGAACAGAATGAGATTTTGAGGCTATCATTGCAGTGATAACATCAGTGTTGGTCTTCAGGGTTGTAATGCTATGTGGGCTTGTAAATACCAGCATTTCAAAGGAACTTACTGCTTAATCTTCTGGGCTGAAGAGGGAAGCTATATGTACCTCTGAAATAAAGGTAGATACCTACAGATCCATTTGACCTTATAACCCAGATTAACATTGACAGAACAAGAACAGTGTTTGTGCAGTATTTGCCAAGTGTTTTAAAATTACAGTAATGAAGATGTGTTTCTGAAGCATATTGTTTCTGCAGATGAAACATGGGTACATCACATTGCCTTAGATATTTTGTTAACTGAGCTTTTCCTGAAACATTCAGTTATACTCCTTGAAATATGAAATCACATTTTTGTTGGTCTGCATAGTGCTTCCATTTAGTTTTAAAAATTCAAAGTCAGTAATGTTACAGGGTTGCCATGCTGTTGCAAATGTCATGTTCTGAATGTGATGTGGACAGTTGTTGCATCGTTTCTCAATTTTAATCACATATATGATTGTAAAGAAGCTTGTTGTAAATATAATGCTGAGTATGTGATTGGTGGGTTAATAATTTTTATTTGTATCATTCATAACAACCTGGCCCTTATGGGTTCATATTACCTTAACTGCATTTATTTAGTAGAGTAAAAAAAGTAATGTGCAGGAAAAGGGTTAATGAATTTTTATACTTTCATTTCAGGTAGAGATACATGGAGATGGCAATCTTTGAATCCAAATGGATATGGAGAATCTGAATGAAAGGTTGTCTGCAGTTCTAAGTATAACAGTACAAGTAAAATACCTTAATTGATCATCCGGTGATTGTGAGTGTTTTCAAACTCTGTACCTCTGAAACAAATGCTGGCAACTTAAGTTGAGCATAATTACAGTTAAGTTATAATTGTTTGACATGAAACATGTCTATCCTGGATGTACTGCACTATAATGATATGTTCTTATCATGGCCATGGGCCTATATATTACATTTCAAATTATTACCAGAAACATAAAACACTTTATATTTTACACATCAAATATTAATTAATATGTTTATTAGATTGTGAAATTTTGTACGGGTTGGATAAAAAGTGACAGTGCCTGCATCAACCCTATGCCAGATTGATGCCTTCATTGGCTCATACAAGAGAAATGGTAGTTTCTTTAATATCTTCCTGCAGTCAAGGAGTAATTCAAATCAAGCTCAAACTGTAAAGCCAAAGTTAATGATTCTTGTCAAATTTATTTAGATTAAAACTGCAATCAAGTACAAAGCATTTAGTCATTGTTATTTTATGCTTTTATGTAACTTAGTATAAAATAATATATTATCAGTTAAATATAGGGGTTATTGTTTATGGCTGTATTTTGTGGTTTTAGCAAAGTTTGTTTTGTTTAAGTTCTGTTTTAATTTTCATTACATTTGTTCCATTGCCAAGTTTTAAACGTACTGAATTTAGTTCCTGTGTCTTCAGTTCCTTGAAAAATTGTGTTTTGTTGGTTAAGGAGTCTGTAGTTTTAGGTATGGGCTTTGTATTTATATAAAGTTGTGTTAAATGTGCACATAACTAACTTGTACTTTGATATATTAGATTGGATCAAAGAGTAAGTTTCAGTTCCCATTTGTTAATAAGACCCTTTATGAAGGCACTGAATTCTGTTTATTATATTATTCAAATGTGCTGTTGCACAGTGTTATATGGATGGTTTGCCATCTGAAATATTTAATAAAATATTTTTATACTTATTTCTTCAAATTTTAGTTTGAAGATTGCTTTAATTAGGTATGCCTCCATCTGAAGTAATATTGTAAAATCAGAGTTATTGTAAGGAAACAAGTTACTAATTTAGAATGTTCACATTTAGTCCTAGGTCTTGGAAAGGTACAATTTTAGTATGATCCTTTAGTAACTGGTGTGTAGTTTTATAAACAATCTACATTTTAAGAATGGTGTATATTGTTCTTGAAGTATTAAAAATCTAAGCATTTATATAATATTACTAATGTTACTCCCTTAGTTAATTTGTTTTGTTTAAGAAAAATGTAATTACTTGATTTTCTCTGTAATTTATTATGCATGGAATCTACATAGTTCATCTATATATTTGATAAGCAAACAACCATACCATTAATTTTCAAATGAAAATAGGTTTGTGTGTTCTTTTTCAATTTTCATCAAAGATGTTGGGATCAGTACAAGACCATCTCATTTCATTCATAAGAAAGCATTTATATGTACTTTCAATATGACAGGTTTTAACCAGATTAAAATTGTCACAGCAGCATTTTGAAGTGTGATTGTAGAATCCTTTTAGTCTTGACTATATTGACAACACTGGACATAAGCTTTCTTTCTTACCTTCGCCTTAAGTGTAGTGATATGAATAGCTAATTAGCTAGTGCAGTTTACATTTGTAACAATAAAAAATTCTGCTTTCATCTGAAATTTCTTGTCAATTTTACAAGTCTGTTCATACCATGCATAAATTTATCTTCAATGTGTTTGCATAAAAAACATTTTGTGATAATGCAGATGGTCACTGTTCCGATAATTATAATAAACTTTAGGGGTGTGAATTAAATTCACAGTGTTTATAGTATTGAAAACTATGACAAAAGATTGTAAAACTCAAGTAGTGTCATGTTGTGTAGGAACATAATGTTTTAATACCTCAAGATGGGTTATGCCTAGAGGAGTACCAAAATCAAAGCAAGGTGCTTTATTTTTATAATGAAGTGATATGATTATGAACTCTGAAATATGATAAATGCAACGTAGTAAATACTTGCTACATTTGCATTCTGAAAAATGGATAATCATTTTAAAAAATTTTATTACTGATAAGAGACTCAGGTTACAAGCCTGGATCCTGAGAGCAGAGATTGCTCTCGAAACGTTTGCAGAAAATATGGTTTATTCTTTATTCAGTCACCTGACACGGCTTGTAACCCGAGAGTCTTTCATCAACTCCAGTCGCCGCGAAAGCTTCACTTTATACAAGTTTATTGCTGTTGTGTGTAGGAAAGGGATTTAAAGTATTTCAAATCTGGGGGGCAATACATACTCGGAGAGCACTGTATGATCCGTGCTTTCGATGACCCTGAGGACAATTGTATTTAAATACAAGGATTAATAAATCTGCTTGGCCAACAATATACGCAAAACCATGATGTACCGTCGGTATTTTCATGACAAGATTATGTCATTTTGAAACCATTTTTGCTTTAGTACGATACCTAGCGGCAATAAATACATTTAATGCGGAAGAGTATACCAATAAAGTTAATGCTAAAAATAGTGCACGATATTATAACAGATACACGAATTATATACGTACTTACACGTGGAGTTTACTCGTTTAGAGATTCTAAATACATATGTTAATAACTTTATAATAAATTTCATTAAATATTGCTATTTTTAAAAGATATACTCATTCTGGATTATGGTTAGTATTTCAATGGCGATCGAACTACTTTCGTATGCGTCAGTGCGTCTGTTGTTTGTGCCAAGCCCATTGCAGGAGAAATTGTGTTCGTTGTTTTGTGTTGTAGGTACTTTCATGGATATTCTGACAGTTTTGTAAGGTAATAATGATGTACTTTTTTAATCTATTACAAGTTTAAGAAATTTCGCTGCCGTTCATTTAAGACACTTGATCACTGAAATGAAAACATGATACACTTGCTGTGACACATTTATTATGAGATAACTAACCTATTACAAAATTCATATGAACTACACTTGTTATGTTTAAGTAATTAAATCAGAATTGTTTAGAGC